ACACACACACACACACACACACACACACACACACACACCATCCCTCCACAGAGTGCTGATAACGTGGATCCTACTACAACCTCCTCCTGTATCACGACTGCTTTGCTTTCACAGCACATCATGAACGCAGCATGACGACAGTCCAAAGACTCTGATCTGACAGCTGATCTCAAGATATGATTCTACCGATGCCAGTGTGACTTCTTTGGTTCGAAGTGGTGGTCTCTGGGTCTCTTATTTAAAAATCAAACAGCAAGAGAACTTGTTTTTTCTTCCAGAGTCAGCAGAAACAAGTGTTCCCGAAGACAGCTGAGCGAGGACGGTGTTCGATTAAGGCCAATTTGTGCGTTCGGAGAACATTTTTTGGGTAGCTTCCCAGCTTTTCTGAGAAATGCAGCACTAAATATCCTTAAGTTCCGCTCGAAAGCCTCCATATTTCTAGAGAGCAGCCAAGAGAAAAGGCCGCCTTAGTCCCTCCCAGCGTCCAGTTATTTGATGGTCCTGTGAGCCTCCATGCAGTCAGCCATGTGGCTCTGACAATAAAAAAAAGGTTATCGCCAACAGCACAATTTAATGCAGTCAACACAAGGCTGACGGTTTTTCCGTGCAATTGGGCAAAGTGCTGAGACTTTTAAGGAGCAGCGGAAGATGGACATTAGGAGCGGATCAATCATCTCTAATGTGACATGAGCGGCACAGGAACGAGAGTCTGAATGCATCCATTAACTGCAGGCAGGCAACGCTGATTATACAGGACGGTCATTTGCGGGAATCTGAGTCCCCTACCGGGAAAGCACTCACGTTTTGAGATCAGATTACACCTCACCGTGACACGCGTTAATGTAGAAAACCAAGCGCTCCTTGATTCTTACGCTGGGCCGCTTGTGTAGAAACGACACACTAACATAACATGATTTCTGCCTGTTGTCATAACAGCAACAACACATTTTTTTGCTTGAGGTGTGCAGCAGCACGTACGCACATTATATTGTAGGACGAACAACACAGCTGCTCTGCGAGAAGCGTGCTTTTGGGTGGATTTCCCTCCAGCTGACCCACTGACGGCCAGCACCCACAAGGTGGGAGGGTCTGGTACAGACTTGGTCCGTCAATGTGGCCCTCAGGTCGGGGTGAGGTGTGTTCACCGCGGGGAGATCTGGAGGCGTGTAAGCCCACGTAGATTTTTTTCCCTGCTCTGCCAAACAACAACCCACTGTGGCAGAGTTCCTGTGTGGGAGACCCAGGTTCCAGCTCCGTCAGATAAGTGGGCTCGCATGTCTTATCCCACTGCACACCCGTGAAGATATACAGCTCCACTCGGAACTCCCTGCGGTGTGAAAACACACATCAGATATTCTACTATGCGGTGCAATATCTGCAATTTTCTCTCTAGTCCCGCAGGACAAGAAGAAGAAAAAAAGAAATCTGAAAATGATCTTCCAATAAAAAGCAGGAAACGGTCCAAACTGTTAAGCAACCAGCTCTGACTTTAACTTCAAGAGGCAAACGTAGCCCTCGAGGAGAAAGAGACTTCTGAGAGGATGGAGCGAGCAAGATGCTCATCAGACAGCTGGATGTGCATCAGCAGTGGATCCAGATCCCCCTCAGGCTGCCAGCCTGCTGTGGGAGGTTTGAGGTCCAAGGACTGACACATCATCTCTCTCCCTGTTATCATTCATGCAGAGGCATGGCCACGGACATGCGTAATAGTGATGATGATGATGATGATGATGATGATGGCAGAGCCTGGATAAAGACCGTCGCGTGGCCCATCAATTACGGATTGCTTAGTTGATTGCGCGAACCCCTTCCCTACAGCCGCGCGACTCTCCGCGAGCAATAACGAGTTAATTCACTTAATTCAGAGCCAGTAATACCGCGTTTAGTATAAAGCTGTGGTGTAAGACCCCATCTGTTAGTGATCTACGTCAACTCCGCAATACTACATCACAATTATGTATACGCGGTTTCCTCGAGGGGAGCGCTTTTAGGGAATTGAACAAGTATTTGAAGTCGCTCCTCGACACAATCGATTCCGCCCGTCATCGCAGCTGTGCGCGCCCCGAAGGATTCACCGGTCAGCGGCCGGTTCAGGTGATCAAACAAGATCAAGCGGTGCACAACACAGCCACGAAAACTCGCGGATCACTCACCGTGTTGTTGTGAGAAACGGCGGCGGTTAGGCGAACGGCGTTTGCTCCAAAGTAGTGCTGGTTAACCTTCTTGCTTTTTTGTATCTCCACACGAGACGTTTAAGGTCAGCTCGCGGATGAACCGGACGGGACAGGCGACGTGCCCCTGTGGTTCCTCGGGTGACAGCAACACGGAGGTGTTCATTTACATGCGGCTCTCGCTGCTCCACTCCGCCAGCGACACGATCGCACCGGCTGCCTCGCCTCGGACGAATGACAGCCAGCGGGCGCTAACCGAGCAGGAGGAGGATGTTGTTTCCGCACGGAGGATTTAGAGAGAGACGCCACCAGAGCGTGGGGTGCGTTCCGTTTCCCTCGTGTGTTTTTTTTCCCTTCCATGTAGGTGATTCCTCTGAGATGCTAAGGATGTGCTGACATATTGCGAGAGACATTTTTGATGATACTTGCAGTGTGAAAAAAAAGAGCTTTTATTTGTTTGGTGATGTGTTAGCTCCGCACATTTTCAAGAAGGAACTTCTTATTTGATTTGTCACGTGTCCTGTCTGACTGATACACCACTACCAAATAATACGGAGTTTACTTTAGTACCAACTACATTGATTTTATTCTTGGAGTAAACCTAATCCAGAGATCACCAGTGGAGATTAGAGTTAAAGATCCTCTTCAGAAAAGTCTATCAAAGATTTAGAACACAATAATGTCTAGGTGAGATGTCTCTCTGTCTGATTGTGTCCTGTGGGTGGCTTAGTGTGGGAGAGACTGGTATATAGTGTGCGTAATGGTATTATATCATATGAAAAGTATCACAGTTACAGGTGTAGGCCTACAATAAAGAAACAAATTGTTTTTTGATCTTTAATGAATAAAGACGCCACAGTAACGGCGTTGCACGAAACTACAAACTTTTGATAACTTCAAATACTTTCAAAATACATGCAGCGAATGATCTCACTGAGACACGCGTCAGATGTGTGCTGCTTTAAGAGCGGAACGGGAAAACACACTAGGTCTCCAGTGAACGTATGTGTAACAATACGTGAACAATGAAATTGGCAACATGATGGCGTAACAATATCAGCCATTATAATAATGTCAGTGTGCCGGAACATGAGCCTGCTTTCACTGTGAAGTCAGACAGACAGATGGACACGTCTCCAACACGCCTGAGGACAACAGTCAAGGAGCTTAGGAAGCAGAGAGTAACTAAAAGACACCTGAATGTGTGTATTGTGTTTACGATAAGTGCCGAGTGTGTTGCAGCTTGTCAGAAACATACAGAGATGCATGTTTGAGTGGGCGACATCGTGTCAGCATGTGTGTGTGTGTGTGTGTTCACAGGTGTTCATGCGTGTGTTTCACTTCAGGTAAAGGGATACAGGACGTTGCCGGGCGGACTGGGGCTGCAGCTCTTGCCTGGCGTCTGCAAGCAGAGCGACTCCATCGCAGCCCTCGCTCTCTGCTTCTGCTCCTCTGTGAGCGGCGGCTGCAGCACGATGCTCTGGATCTGAGTGAGCGGAAGAAGAGGGAGGATTTTACTTTGTTAAATGACAGGGAGAGGGGGAGACGAGCCGCATTACGAGGAAGGAACAGAGAGGAAGAAGGGAGAAATGAAAAGAAAGAGCATGGGACATAATGCCAATATTGGGACTAAAAGCTAAAAGGTTAATCGGCAGTGAGGAGGGAGAAAGTAGGGAAAGATAGTTGAATGTCTGAATCAGAGGAAAAAGTCCTTTTTATCCTGCGTGGCTAATATACAAGATTGGGAGCATTTCGATTTTCTCAACCGCTCTCAACATGGTGACGGCTTTGGCTGTAAACTACAGCAAAAAGTGCTGATGGAGCTAACAGTGTTTACCTGAGGGGGAACCGGAGGGTGGGTACTCTGCAATGACACAGTGGTTCAGAACGCAGTTATCAGCTGTAACCAGCGTATGAGAGCAGAGTGGGACACGCCCTCATGCACGGACGTGCACTAAAAGCACTGCAGCCAGAGTGGCTCTGTCAAAGCATACTCCACTATATCTTCACATAGCAAACTGTTGCTTTCCACTGTATCAATGCACTGAACCCTGTATACTGCACCTTTAAAAAACGAAATACATCGTCAAGGCTGACAAAAGGCAAATTCTTCAGAGGGAGACTCTCTCTCACACACACACACACACACACACACACACACACACACACACACAC